TAAAAAAATGTCCAACCTGCAGCACCCAGTTCACAAGGGAGAAGGACTTCAAATTCCACCAGAAAGATTGTCATGAGTGCATTTGCGAGGAATGCAATGAATCGTTTGACCATGAGCAAAAGCTAAAGAGGCATAAAGACAAGAAACATAAAGACAGCTACAAGTGTGATCATTGTCAAAAGACTTTTGCAGAGAAACGAAATCTTATAAGACACCAAAAGTCACATGTTTAATTAACCTATCCTGCATTTAGTGATTTTAACTGGAGATGATTTGAAAGGACTATTGGATCAATCTATAATACATAATTGTTTTTGTTTTTAAATTATTATTATCGATTTTTGAAATTAATTGTGGTCATTGCAGCACATGTACATCATGTTACTGTTCAAACCAAATTTTAAATCATTACAATTTTGTGTTAGACTTTAACAGGAAAGAATGAATTAAAACTTAATTACAATTTCAAACCTTCAATCTTTTCAAAGTTTTACGTTTGTACAGCTTAATCTTCAGAAGATAGACCCTCCCCCCCACTTTTTGGGTGAAATAACTGGAGGCCCAGGCCCTAATTTACCTGAGTATTAGTTAGCGCCCCATGTGAATCAATGGCTGAACTTTGCTTATAATTTTCCTCAATCAGGATATCAGCAAACAAACCTTCATACCCACAAGGTTTCACTTGAACAAAAATATAATCAAATTATAAGTGTTTGAAATTGGCTAAAGTACGTTACGGTTGTATGGCATCGTACCAATTATCTGAACCCATGAAAGAATCCATAAGTTCTAGCACATGTACATCATCACTTCACTGAGATGCTGTTTATCACTTCATATTCGGATATCCATTGCTCCAGGTTTTCTTTCGTTATATCTTCGGTCAAAAAGTGCTCTTTGAACTTTTCTCCATTTCCTGAAATTGCCTTCAGGTAGTAAAATGAATCATCTGGAAGCGAAGCCAGAAAACTCTCCTTTGTAATTTGGGTCGATTCAAAAGATTTTCTTTTCGATTCGACTTCTTTTATAGCTGAAGATATTAGATCTTTGAGAAAATTGTCGGGTTTGTCCGTCATTTTGATTTGATAAAAATCGCGATGGTTTGTGGGAAAGCTAGTCACGCATTGCTCTGATTGTCACGCATGTCGCCGGAGAGAGTCGGAAATATCGGTTCCTTCTTGGCATCGACCTTTACGATGGCATCGACTGTCATAAGAAATGGCATCAACCGTTTTCAATGGCAACGACCGTTCCGAGAAATGGCATCGACCGTTTCAAATGGCAACGACCGTTCTGAGAAATGGCATCGACCGTTTCAAATGGCAACGACCGTTTACGAAAGGGAAATTTGCGTCGGCGTGACTGCAAAAAACACCCTGTCTCCTGTTATCTTCTTGGTCTTGTTGGGCAGATCAAGCAGTAAATGTTTGATCGCAGGTTATAACTTGACTATGGCTTAAGTCTAATTAATTGATGAGTATATGATGGAGCACTACTATGTATTGCTTTAAATGTGTATGCAGCCAGTTTAGACATTTTACAGTATTTAACTGGCAGCCAGTGCAAGTATATCAAAACAGGAGAAATGTGATCAAAATGCGTGGTATTGAAGATGAGCCTTGTGGCAGCGTTTTGAACCCATTGCAATTTGTTAGTATAACTGGCTGGTGAGTCATACAGCAGACTGTTACGGTAGTCTAGGCATCCAATTACCAGTGCTAAGATTAATGTTTGTGCACTCTTGTACGAAAGATACTTTCTAGTGCATCTTATTTTGTGTAGTGAATAAAAAGATAGATTGCATGTTTTTGTAATGTGGACGTTGAAATTCAGCTGCAAATCAAACCAAATTAGAGTCAAGTCACTGACGGTTCAACTCACCAATGCCAACTCGCTGATCTATAAAATCAACTAGAGAAAAAAAAATCTGACCGATTGACATAATGAGTCTTTACAGTGTTGTCACACAATTTGTTCACTTTGTTCACGTCTAAAGGTTTGTTGGTCATTGGCGATGTTCACCTCGCTTTATTCGCCTTGAGATCATTATCCACTTTTTTAAAAAAATCTGACCAGTTGACATGATGAGTCTTTACAGTGTTGTCACACAATTTGTTCACTTTTTTCACGTCTAAAGCTTTAGTCATTTACTCAAATTTAAGAGAAGAATTTCCTGGTTAAATAGGCTGTAAACCTAAACGTAGGAAATAGCTCGATCAAGATCAAGTGTCACACCTACACAACGATGAGAAAATAAGCCTTTGTCAATGGATGAATTACGGTCAATTCACCCCATGGTCATTTTACCCCAGTCACTTTGCTTCAACCAAAAGTCAGTTCGCTCCATAATCGAAGTCACTTCGCTCCATTCAAAAGTTACTTTGCTCCATGTAAGAAATTAGTCATGAACTTTTTGTTTTGATGTTGGAGTTGGACTGATTTTGAACTTATGTCAGTTCAGATTTATCAACTTATGCAGTGAAATATTTCATTTGATTACTTTCCTCAACACTGATTCTTATACATTGTAATCCCTCAAACCCCCCGTTATTGCACGGAAGGAATACTTGAAGGAGTGTCCTTGTTCATTCTTATAGTTTTGCTTATGACATTTCAATACACTTTCATGCGTGTGACTGGTTGAAAACTTGCAATGACAAGGCATCACTGAAATGGGAAAAGGGAGCTTTATTTAGGTGATGAAGGCAGTTAAGCAGGTAAGTTTAGAGTCACTGTGTGAGGTAGCTCATACGAGATAGCGAAAGCACTTTGAGAAAAGGTTTCGAGTTTGATTAAGTTTGCATAATTCTTCGGCTTTTTCTAAGATTTAATTTTTTATTAAAAGAATTGTCATGTTTTTAGCTTTTTCTGTGTGTTCTATGTATTGGCATTTATTGTGTTGTTGACATTGCTTTTATTTTATTTGGTGGCTTCTAAAGGAGCCGTTTGTTTTTTGTTTGTGATCGTTCATCAGCCTAGTCCCTTGGTGCATTCAGGTAAGAGCAGGCTTTCAGCAACTGCTTGGTGGACCATTTGTTGGCCTCATGTTTGTTCCACAAGTCGAACAGTTTGGTCTGCAGCTCATGGTAATTGCATCGCTGAATTCTCTTGAGTTTCCTGACAGAAGCAAGGTGGATCTGTGGGGCAGTAAGTTTGGCCTCTCTGTTTAGGAGCAGAATCAGGAGGTACAAGGGCACATCCAGCGGCTTGGTGGTTGAGGCCATGGTGCCACCCTTCGATGTTGTTATTTGTCCTCACAGCTCTTTTACACAAGGTCCAGTCTGATGGGCCCAGGTGGTGCCATTGATCTAATTGCCTGACACAGACTCAATGAAGGGCTGCAATGTGACAGGAGCTTGGCGCTGGAGGTGGTTAAACATCGGCCCGATATCGTTCTTTGCCAGGAAGAGCAGTGCCAGCATCTTTCTTATGAATTGGAATGTATCTCAGTCATGGCTGTAGGCACTCTGTAGACCCAATTTTGGTACCTAAGGAAAATAAAATGTTTGGGCCAGGAACTGCTGAATATCAGGTGGTGACGACCATGCACCTTAAGCTCTAAGTGGAAGAAACCATCAGGGCTTTCCTCTAATTTGAAGTCTAGATCCAGCGGGTCTTTCAGTCGTAACTGCTGGTGCTTTCTGCTGGCAGCTTCGGCAACATAGTCTGGCTGGGGTAGACTTGAGCAAGGTCCATCAGTCATTTGGTCCAGCAGAACTTCCTCAATGATGGCAGAGGATGGTCTAAAGATATCTGCTGCAGCTTTGGCCCTAACTATTGCTGTTATGAGCACATACTGCTGCTCCAGGGTCTGCTGGATTGTTTTCGGTGTTGGCTGACAATTGAAAACTACCATCACTATGTTCTATCACTGCTGCTCTGCATGGGTTGACCTTTGAAAAGAGAATTACTAAAGTAAGTAATTAGGAACAATTGTAATAAATAAGCAACTAAGACAACGTAAAGATAGTTACCTTAGGCCTGAATGTGTATTGCCAGTCAATGACATTTGCTCTGCTGTGTTTGATGTTGAAGCAGTAACCCCTGCTGTTGATCAGCTTTGGTCTGCCTTCTGTCATGGAGTATTTAATGATTTGGAAGGTGACAGCGTTCTCTACGGATGTAGGTAGTGGATCAAGGATAGATGATTCATCAACAGCAGGATTGGCAAGGGGCTCATAGAGGGTGGAAATAGACTCGGTGAAGTCAACAGGTGTATCCTCAGTGACAGGCATACTCTCAGACAGCAACATGGACAGACAGGTAACACAGCGCTAGTCAATGGAACTACCAGTTTGCATAGCAAAATGGTAATCACACTGGGAGATTCCTGTTCCACAAGTACGATGTTGCCAGTGAAAACAACCATAGCATTGAAGGCCTTGCTGACACGCCCATACTGGATTCTGGCAAGCAATATATTCTACAGACATGTTAACGATGACGAGAATTGTGACTGTTTTGATAAATTAGCGATGGTAGCTCAATCCTGATTTGATAATTGAGTAAGAGTCTACCATCTTTTATACAGTTCCCTAGGATCAAAATTTTCAATTTGGAAAAAACACACTTGGATTGGTTACTAATTGATTACTGAAGTCTCACCTCCATTAAAGTTCACACATTGTGTGGGTAGTGGATGTGACAAGAAAAGAACAATACAGTCTTGAAGTTGAACTGGAAAACTAAAAGCAGTTTAAGGTGTTACGTTGCAAGTTCACTAATCTAGGAGTGGTAGAGAATCTTAAGGGCCCTTTTGATATAACACAGATAGTTGAGGTTAAGGTTGTATTCTGAATTAACAAGTCTTTGAAAGGCTTAGTCGGCATGTTGTG